GGAGTAGTTTTCAATGGTGAACATCACTATGTTGATCATATCTACTATATGATTCACGCTCGACCTTTCGGTCTCAGTGTTCCGAGGCCATATCTGTTATATGCCAGGCTCGTCAAGTTTAACCTGAGTATTCTGTGTGTGCAACTGTTTTGCACCCGTTGTATTTGAACGTAGAGCCTATCACACTCGATCATCACGTGGTGTCTCAGCACGAAGAACTTTCGCAATGGTGCATACTCAGGGAGAACACTTATACCTTGAAATTTAGTGAGAGATCATCTTATAAAGCTACCGTCGAACTAAGCAAGATAAGATGTATAAAAGATAAACATCACATGCAATCATAATATGTGATATGATATGGCCATCATCATCTTGTGCCTTTGATCTCCATCTCCAAAGCATCGTCATGATCTCCATCGTCACCGGCATGACACCATGATCTCCATCATCTTGATCTATAACAATGTGTCGTCACATGGTCGTCTTGCCAACTATTGCTCTTGCAACTATTGCTATCGCATAGCGATAAAGTAAAGCAATTATTTGGCACTTGCATCTTATGCAATAGAAAACCATAAGGCTTTTGCCAGTTGCCGATAACTTCAACAAAACATGATAATCTCATACAACAACTTATATCTTATCATGTCTTGACCATATCACATCACAACATGCCTTGCAAAAACAAGTTAGACGTCCTCTACTTTGTTGTTGCAAGTTTTACGTGGCTGCTACGGGTTGAGCAAGAACCGTTCTTACCTACGCATCAAAACCACAACGGTAGTTCGTCAAGTTAGTGTTGTTTTAACCTTCTCAAGGACCGGGCGTAGCCACACTCGGTTCAACTAAAGTTAGAGAAACTGACACCCGCCAGCCACCTGTGTGCAAAGCACGTCGGTAGAACCAGTCTCGCGTAAGCGTACACGTAATGTCGGTCCGGGCCGCTTCATCCAACAATACTGCCGAAACAAAGTATGACATGCTGGTAAGCAGTATGACTTGTATCGTCCATAACTCACTTGTGTTCTACTCGTGTATATAACATCAACGCATAAAACCTGGCTCGGATGCCACTGTTGGGGAATGTAGTAATTTCAAAATTTTCCTACGCACACGCAAGATCATGGTGATGCATAGCAACGAGAGGGGAGAGTGTTGTCCACGTACCCTTGTAGACCGAAAGCGGAAGCGTTAGCACAACGCGTTTGATGTACTCGTACGTCTTCATGATCCGACCGATCAAGTATCGAACGCATGGCACCTCCGAGTTCAGCACACGTTCAGCCCGATGACGTCCCTCGAACTCCAATCCAGCCGAGTGTTGAGGGAGAGTTTCGTCAGCATGACAGCGTGGTGACGATGATGATGTTGTACCGACGCAGGGCTTCGCCTAAGCACCGCTACGGTATTATCGAGGTGGACTATGGTGGAGGGGGGCACCGCACACGGCTAAAAGATCAAACGATCAATTGTGTCTCTATGGGGTGCCCCCTGGCCACGTATATAAAAGAGTGGAGGAGGGGAGGGGCCGGTCCTCTCTATGGCGCACCCTAGGGGAGTCCTACTCCCACCGGGAGTAGGATTCCCCTTTTCCTAGTAGAACTAGGAGCCCTTCCAAGTAGTAGGAGTAGGAGAGAAGAAAAGGGAAAAGAGAAGAGAAGGAAGGAGGGGGCGCAGCCCTTCCCCCTAGTCCAATTCGGACTAGGCCTTGGGGGGCGGCCTGCCTCTCTCTCTTTCCCCTAAAGCCCAATAAGGCCTATACACTCCCCGACGAATTCCCGTAACTCCCCGGTACTCCGATAAATACCCGAATCACTCAGAACCTTTCCGATGTCCGAATATAGTCGTCCAATATATCGATCTTTACTTCTCGACCATTTCGAGACTCCTCGTCATGTCCCTGATCTCATCTGGGACTCCGAACTACCTTCGGTACATCAAAACACATAAACTCATAATATAACCGTCATCGAACTTTAAGCGTGCGGACCCTACGGGTTCGAGAACTATGTAGACCTGACAGAGACACGTCTCCGGTCAATAACCAATAGCGGAACCTGGATGCTGATATTGGCTCCTACATATTCTACGAAGATCTTTATCGGTTAAACCGCATAACAATATACGTTGTTCCCTTTGTCATCGGTATGTTACTTGCCCGAGATTCGATCGTCGGTATCTCAATACCTAGTTTAATCTCGTTACCGGCAAGTCTCTTTACTCGTTCCGTAATACATCATCCCGCAACTAACTCATTAGTTGCAATGCTTGCAAGCCTTATAGTGATGTGCATTACCGAGTGGGTCCAGAGATACCTCTCCGACAATCGGAGTGACAAATCCTAATCTCGAAATACGCCAACCCAACAAGTACCTTCGGAGACACCTGTAGAGCACCTTTATAATCACCCAGTTACGTTGTGACGTTTGATGACACACAAAGTGTTCCTCCGGTAAACGGGGTTGCATAATCTCATAGTCACAGGAACATGTATAAGTTATGAAGAAAGCAATAGCAACAAACTAAGACGCTCATTAAGATAAATGAAAACTTAGACGCTTTCCATTACAGCGAGAATCCGACATGGTTATATTTAGTTGGAGAAACTAAACTTGTGTTGTAAACACGAGCCGCTGTCTGGCTCAGATCCCACACTGACACTGCCATGTCTCAAGCAGGACAGCACCAGGCCTGTTGTGTGACTGTACAGTTGTAGTAGTAAGTTGGTTCAAAGTCACTCTGCTATGCCTGGATCCAATCCTTATTTATTGGAACTTGTAAAAGGAATTTGAAATTCCGCTTGATACTTATAAATTGATAGCACGGTAAATGTTTTTAACATGATCAATTCATGTCAGTTTTCCAAGTAAAATTTTCATTGTTTTATGTCAACGACCAATTAGTTTTATGGTGATGTTTTCTTTATACTTGTGCATGGGTAGAAACCAAGTCCTCTGTCTTTTTCACTTGCAAAATGTTTGTACATATGAGAGCTATTTACTCAAAACCACCATACTTGGGTTAGGGTAACAACTTAGTACCAGATTCTAGGCAGGGCACAAAAAACCATCGAAACTGTGCCTAATCTGTAACGAAGAGCACTGATGCTGGAATTTGGTCGTGAAAACAGCCAAACCGACATGTGGGTCCCACATGTCGGGCTGACATGGCGAAGACCGAAAAGTTTGACCGGCCGATGTGGCAAATAATATGCGGGCCCCACCTGTCAATGACTAGAAAGTCATCTTCTTCACAACATTTTTTCGCTGGAGCATTCAATCGAGCACCTTCAGTGCGCACATCATCTGGTCATTGAAGAAGGCACCGCATGCCATGGCCAGGTCGGAGCAGTGACCAGAGGAACTGCGGGCCGGCCGCCTCCATCCGAGAGCAGAGGACCCTGCGTGAAGAAGGCGGCCGTCCGCACAGGCGAGGTCGCGCGGGGGCGCACCATGGAGCCGGCAGATGTAGCCGCGGCAGTGACAAACTCGGGTGGCGTCCATGGCGTTCTTCTGTGTTTGTGGAGACGACAGTGGGCTCGGGCTGCTCGTGCTCGGCAGGGCAGCATGGTCGAGCGTCGCCGCTGCTAGCGCGCCCGCGGCCAACGGCGAGCTGCGGGTCGAGCTCCGGGGGGTGGTGTCGGTGGCTCATGGGGAGCAACGGGAGGTGGCGTCGAGCGCAGGTGCGGCGAAGGCGCTCCACCGTGGGGCACCGCCGCGAACAGGGCCTCCCGACGGGCGCCGCGAGCACGAGGACGAGCAGGGCGCTCCACCATGGCGCACCTCCGTCAATACGGGCGCGACCAGGGCCTCCTGGCAGTCGCCGCGAGCACAACCATGGCCACCATAGTGCGCGAGCACGGGTGCGGCCAGGCATCCCGGCGGGCGCCGCGAGCACTGGGACGGGCAGAGTGCTCCACCGTGGCGCACCACCGTCAGTACGTGCGCGACCAGGGGCACCTAGCGGTCACCGCGAGCATGGCCATGGCCACCACAGTGCACGAGCACGGGCGTGGCCAGGCCTCCCGGCGGACACCACAAGCACGAGCGCGGCCAGCCGGCCAGGTCTCGGGTGACCGTCGACCACTAAAGGCGGCGAGCGTGTCCGGCGTTGTGAAGTGCACAGATGTGCAGATGTCGCCCAGTACGTGTTTGTTGAAATGCCCAGGAGAAAAAAAATAAAGATAAACACTTAAGTCTTTTACAAGTGGGACCCTCGTCCAAGTCAGCGTATTGTCCACACAAGCATGCCACGTCAGCATGACAAGTGGGACCAACTTGTCAATTTCACTGTTTGCGTGAGCTTATCAGATTAGGCTCAGTTTCGGTGGTTTTTTGTGCCCTGGCTAGAATCTGGTACCAAGTCGTTCCCCTAGCCCCAAGTGTGGTGGTTTTGGGTAAATAACTCACACTTGGGGTTAGGATAACAACTTAGTGCCAGATTCTAGGCAGGGCACAAAAAACCATCGAAACTGTGCCTAATCTGTAACGAAGAGCACTGATGCTGGAATTTAGTCGTGAAAACAGCCAAACCAACATGCTAAATAAACGAAAGCTAAGAGCTCACTGATGAATGTGGCAGTGTTCTGTTCTCTGGATGTTGTAAGTTCGGGGCGCCGTGTCGATGACATGAATCATGTCAGCATCAGGATCCAGAGCATGGATGCCTCCAGGAATGGTTTCATTCTGGCTACCATATCGAGCCACTTGGCTAGATACCAACAGCTGCAGCATTAGGAGTTCAGAACTTAGCCTCCAAATGCACTCATCAGAGACATTTTATTGCCAAAGGAAATGCATTCAGTGCAAATGTTTCATACACCACCACCACCACCCATCACCTCACAGTGCAACGAATAATCCAAGAAAAGGCAACACTGATGTCCATGGTAGGCTTTCTCAGTTTTGCATGATGTTGTACCTCAGGCCAAAAAAACAAAGAGATAGCACTGCTAGTTTTCTAAATTCTAGCTACTGAATTTTCCCGACAAAACCAGGTTATTCTGGGGGAATGACGACGCTACTTCCTCGCTCCACGACGCGCTCCAGATCCGCGAACCAGAGTTTCAGCAGTGATTTCTCTCTTGCGATGCTTTCAAATCTCGGCTTCAGGTCCTCGATGCTCTGCTGCATCGTCAGGATCTCAGCTTCATGACTGAACTTGTCCTCTGAGAGCATTTCGGCGGCATGGACTAGCTCCTGCATCTGCCTTTCAGCTTCAAAGTTCACCTCGTCCAGCTCCTTCACCTGGTCCTCCACCAGGGACTTCTCTTTGGAAACTTTCTCCAGCTCACGACTGGCGATCTGGATTGTCTCTTGCAGCTTACCTACCTCTGCACTGTTGGTGGACTTCTCCTGCAGCAGCTTCTCAGACGTGGCGGTAAGCTCTTGCTTGTACTTGCTGATCTCGGCATCGCTCTTGGAAATTTTATCGTCGAAACGCCGTCTGGCTGAAGCCATTTCTTCCTTCAGACTGACAATTTCAGCTTCCAGTCCCTTGTTCTGTTCCAGCAACCTAGAGTGCTCTTCGGACAAAATTGCGGCATCTTCGAGCCTCCTTTGGAGACTGTCGATCTCCACTTCTGAAGATTGTAGCTTCTCCTTAGTTGACGCGAACTCTCCATCAATGTCTGTAATTTTGGCAGCATAATCGGCGCCATTTCCATTTTCCATATAATCGCAATGGCACCTCAGGCTCTTTTCCTCGAAAACCTCGAGCTTTTCGTTTGCATCAAGCAGCTTCCGGTTCGCGGCATTGAGATCGTCCTCGAGCTCGAGAACCCTCTGGTGCAATGTGTAGGCAATGCCATCATCCTCGCCATCCTCAGACTTCATGTCGGATTCTGACTGTGAAGCCGACTCGGGCTCCTTCCTTGAGGACGGTGAGTCATTGCTCTTATTGCTCAGAAAGAAGTCGAAACCGGCGGCTCTAGGGCTCTGCTCCCTTGTCCAGGACTTCTGTGGCTCAGGAGATGGTGTGGGCGACCTTTGCAGCTCTGAACCGAACTCAGAACCGGATAAAGATCCTTGAGACTGCATCCTTGAAGGGATGTTCTTGCGCAGTTCACCGGTAACATTGTCGTAGCGCTCAGCTAAAGCGCGGTACATCCGGTAGAAGTTCTCGACATGGGTGATGAGCACTGGGCGCCTCTGATAATACATTTGAGCTTTCTTTGCAAAGGAGTCGCCATCTTCCTCAATAAGCTGCACCATTTCCTTCACTTGCTTATCCATTTCTGCATATTCCAGTTCAGGGAAAGGTTGGATAAGGCTACTTTGAACAAGAACAACAGTGATAACATACAGAACAGATAACAGCAGCGAGGACAACACATCAAATAACTCAATTACAATCTATCTCCCCAATCCAGTAAAATGAGTAATAAAAGAAGAGCTTGAAGCAAGATCAACAAAGTAAAAATAAATAAATAAAAAAGCAGTAATTGTCAAGGAAAGTATCAACATTTTTTCTGTTTTTCTCACTGCCAATTTCTGCTAAAATAAAATATGTATAGAATTTCTCTCACTTGACTATGGAAGCATCAACAATAGTATTTATCATTTGTCTTCGTTTTTGGAGCAAATGCACAATGAACAGTCACATAAGGCTACCACACCTAAACCTAGAGTGACAGTAATAACCATCAAAACTTCTGCAGCTCCGTGAAGAATCAGATGGGGATACTGTACCATAGGCAACATATGTACATCAAAAGCATCTGAGGGCTAATAAAGTAGTGTGTTGTAGACTTGTACTTTTTCTTCATTATTATTCATTTATTTATGTCATCTCAGTGCAACATACAATCAGAAATTGTACTGTACCTATGCATGCATTGACGGTGTATGTTTACTAGCAAGTACTAAGAAAAAAATCATATAGGAAATTCCAGGTACAGTCTCAGCTTACCTTCGAGGTTTTCTGCAAGCCATTTTGAGTTCTTGGGGCTAATGTGACTATCCCACCACCATGAATGGCGCTTCCTGGATGGGTTCCTTTCCAAAGGCGGCTTCATGTTTCACAAATCTTCAAGGAGAGCTAGAAGTTTAGCAGATTCAAGCACTAAATGGAAAGGGGAAATATGAATGGTTAGGAACGAAAACTACATCTTTCTTCAGTCAAAGAGAAGAAAAATAAGTAATGATATGTTTAACTTTCCAAATCATAAGCATCAGGGTGAACTATAGCGCTGCGAAATGAATACACTATACCGCAACATAAATCAACCAATCTAAAATAGGTGCGGATAAGCATGTAAATTGCAACAATGCCAGCAGCCACTCATTCTAGTCCTTGTTAGTTGGATAATAAGTTATTTCCCATTTTTACTAACAGCATCCCATTATCATCTAGTAGTACCAGCGGTAGTACATTCGTGTAATGAAATCTGTGTCCTCGGGAAATAAATGCTTAAATCGCATCTGTGATGAACTAGAAGAAATGAACAAGAAATTGCATATCTGGACAGATCATCAGGTCAATGGATCAGATTGAGTTATATGTACAACAACAAGACATGAGCAGCATATCTTCTTACTGTAGTATCAAGGATGATCCTTTTTTACCAAACAGAAAAGCAATGATTCAGCAGGCAGCTTTTACTGTTCCATCCATGAGAAAACAGGGGTGGTCATATAACCAAGACCAGATCAAAAGATAGCATCATCCCTGGAGAAACGCTGCAAGATCTTGGGAGCAACCATCTATCAAGAACAGCAACTAAACATGGCTTGAAGAAACTGAAACATACGACCGAGAAGAACTGGTACAGATTCAGATGAGCGGGAAGCGTCAAGAGCACAATCTCACCTGAGAAAAGAAGCTTCCTCCTCGCCTTCAGAGACGCAAGTCGTCAGGATCCTGCACCAGAGGCGCCAGCTTGTTCATGCCTTCATGCTGACCAAATCTGAGCACTACACGGACAGGCAGGGGATAGAAAGAAATCAAGAAGGGGCCAGGAACAGGTAGCTGGAAGATTTATGCCTGGGTCAATGCTTGAAGCAAACGCGTGAGGGTCTCCAGCCCAGAGCGAGCTTGGAAGATGCAAAGGGGCACGAGACGGTGGCACATGACCAAGTACCACCGCCCACCTACTCCTACTCGTATGCGTATTACTGCTACCTGAAGGATCCAAGATCCACCGCTGCACCCAGAGAGAAAAAGTCTCGACCTTTTTGTTCACACTCGTGGTGTAGGTACAGTGTTCTCAATCTCACAGGATCAGAAGTGATTTGAAAAATCTCTTGAGAAAAGCAAAAAAATAATGGGAGGTGGAAGCTAGCTAGCACAGGGATGGGACAAAATAGGCAAGAAATAAATATATGTCACGTGGTGTCACCGGCCATGTGCTGCGTGCGGTCAAGATTGCACGGCTGCAGGAGATGGGGATGTATGCAGTTGAATTCTTGCCGTAGAAATGAATAATGTGCACGAGCAGAAGAAGCAAAGAGAGGAGTAAAAAAGGAGAAACAAAATCGTAGCAAGCAAGAGAGGTTTGCTGCTCCTTGTTACCTTCCAAAACTTGGCCTTTGCTCAAAGCTTTCTTGACAGGTAAACGGAAGGAAAAGGATTTGCAGGAAGTAAATAGTAGTGCTATTTCTGAACAGAGAAGTGTTAAGAAACCAGTTGCAATGTTTTTTGGCCTTGTATACCAATGGGTATGAACTATGAAGAGATGAACAAGTCAAGGAAAAGGAACTTGATTCACAAAAAAGAAAAAAGAAAGGAAAGAGAAGGAAAAGAGATTTACCGTTGGATCACAGGATCGGACAGCTGACGGGTGCGGCTTCAAGAAAAGAATTAACTGACTGCAAGGAATCGTAGGCTAAGCAGGCTTAAACAGGCATCAATGAGGGAGGTTGGCCAATTAAATGGGCAAGAAACTGAAGTCTGAAAGCCTGAAACTTGCAGGTGAGTAAAGTGCAGGCCGTGAAAACTGACGCTTAGCCATGTGAAGCTTCTGAATTCCTGATCTCCAGGGCATTAAAAGAATCAGTTAAAACTAATGGTCCAATCCCTGCACACATCTCCTTGTATTTTAGTGGGTGTGCTGTCTCCCATTTTAGTGGGATTAAAAAGTACAGTATGCTATGTTGTGATAATTATGCCGTGTTTCTGCCACAGAGTAAACTTTTCTTGCAGCTTCCAAGAATGCAGTCATCTCCAAAAACTTTCAAGAATGCACCATGTAAGCTTTTCTAGAGCAAATCATGGAGAAAGGTAAGGTCAGCAGCTCAAGGCATGGACTGGTCACAGAGGCAGAGACAGAGACAGCAGACAGGTGGTCATGGCTGCCACCTCCATCATTTCTGCCATAATCTCTGGACTGGTCTTGCTTCTCAGCAGTCTTGCTTCCCTTTTGAATACAATTTCAGACTTCTGGGATAATAGAAATAGAAGGGCGAGTTCACAGCAGCACAAGGAGATCCAAAAGGCAAATTACTCGATAGATATGCGAATTCAAACTAGATAATATGAGGCTCATTAAATGGCAAAAAAGAAAAACAATGAGCCATGTCACAGGTTTGCAGCAATCAAGTTCGTCAGGATTTGAGAGAACAAACACAGCGATCATCTTCAGACTCGCGGCAACAGGCAGATTGATTGAAAAAGGAATGCCACAATGATCCATAATATATTACACCACACACATCATAGGGTACCAGTAGCTGAAGCAACTACAGAGCACAAGCTTTTACCAGGACTACTAAGGAGTAGACCGAAGCTACATGAAGAAAGGGGAAAGGGAAAGGGATGTTTACATTACATGGACATACTGATTTTAGGCATCCAGAGAGAAGGATCCAGCAAGCTGCTGGTTGGCTGATCACGTCGCCATCACCATCGGCCTCTTGTGGCCCTGCAGAACTTGCCGGAGCTGCTGATACCCGTCACGGTAGTGCTCGAGCGAGAAGCACAGCTGCCTGATTGCCTCCCGCTTCCCCTCTGCGCTGTCGAACGCCATGAGCTTCTGCCTCTCAACCTCTTCCTCGAGCTCACGCACCCGTGCACGCAGTTCTGCCACGGACTTCCGTGCGGCATCTGCCTCTGCTATCACTTGCACATGCTCCAGGTGTAGCTGATGCAAGTGGCTATCCATCTCCTTCATCTTTTCATCACAAGTTGCGAGATCACTCAGCAAACCAGACACCTTATTATCAACTGCAGCTTTCTGTGAGGACAGTAACTCGAGCTCTGTCTTAAGATTGGCAATATCTTGCTTCAATCCAGAGATCAGTTTCTCACTCTCAACAGATGCTTCTGCCTTTTCGGCATGAAGTTGCTTAAGCTGCGCCTCTGTGGATGACAACTTGTCTTCAAGAGAAGCATTAGCTTCTGACAGTTGTAGGATCTCAGCATCGAGAGAGGACTTCTCAAGAGAGAATTTCTCCAACTTACTAGCAATGGCATGTTCCAGATCCTTGACAGAGCCCTCCAACATCGATTTCTCTTGAAGTGCTCCTTCCAGATCAGCTTTGAGTTTCTCAATTCTAGTTTGTAGCTCCACTGTTTCAGCCCTCGAATCCTCTAACTCCCTATGAACTTGCTCAAACTCGATAGCACGTTCCTCGAGCACTCTCTTCTCATTTGAATCATTTTCCAGTCTTGCTTGCAGATCCTTGATTACCTTTTGTAGCTTCTTAATTTCAGCAGATGAATCATCTAGGCTGTGAGATGTTTGTTCAAGCTCCATAACCTGTGCCTCAAGCTGCAACTTCTCTTCCGACAGTTTTGCCAAGTTCCCTTCCAAGTTCTTGACCACTTCTTGGAGATCTCCGATTTCAGTCTCAAGAATAGACTTATCATAGGTATGCCTCTCAGATACTTCCTCAAGCTCCCGCTTGCATTTCTCAATTTCAAGGTCACGATATGAAAGTTGGGCCTCATGATGCTTGGCTGCTAAGGCCATTTCCCCTTTTAATTCCTCGAACTTGTTCTTGTTTTCCTGAACTGCAGCTTCCAAATCCTCCTTTTCACTGCTAATTTCTTTGATACTCTCCAATGAACGGACCTTTTCTTCAAGATCCTTCTGAAGGCTGTTGATTTCTGATTGCGAAGCTAGCAACTTCTCTTCAAGGTTTTCACATTGGCACAGCATATTCTTTTCCTCGAGTGCCTCAAGTTTCTCCATTGCTTCCTTGAGCTCATCTTCTAGCTCAATAACTCGTTCATTCAGTGCATGAGTAATCCCATTGCCATTCTCTTGGTTCGCTTCATCAACCTCGGAATCAGAATCAGAAGAAGAAGATGATGACGATCCATCACTTCCCTTTTTACCCTTCTCTTTTGAGGTCTTCTTTTCAGACTCAGGAGATGCGGGAGTAGACTGTGCCTCGGAGTCAGATTCAGATATACCTGAGCCCTGTGATTTGAGAGATGATGGCATGTTTTTTCGTAGTTCCCCAGTCACATTGTCATAACGCTCAGCAAGAGCACGATACATGCGGTAGAAATTTTCAACATGGGTGACAAGCAAAGGACGCCTTTGGTAATACATCTCAGCCTTCTTTGCAAAAGAATCTCCTTCATCCTCAATGAGCTTCAGCATCTCTTTAACTTGCTTATCCATCTCTGTTTGTTCAGAAAAGGTTGCAAGTGTAAATAGATTGCAGGATGAAATATCAGAGAAGGAAATTGCCATGGTGCTAAAGATAGCTACTCCTAGCAAGTGACAGAAGTATCTGGTACATAAGCAATTGAAGAAACAAGAATAGAGTCATTACCTTCTAGATTATCAGCTAGCCATTTGTTGTTTTTGGGACTAATATGACTGTCCCACCACCATGAATGGGCCTTCCTTGTGGGCATTCTACTCATGCGCTTCATTCTCACGATAAATAGGGAATCTTGTAAAAGGTAGACCTAATCATGAGATGGAGGCAAAAATGAGAATGTGAAACATACAAGTTGATGACTCTTGTGCTAAAGAGTGATCTGCAAGACTGCAATTAAAAAAACACTTTCCTCATAATATGTAGTGAAATTAGGGGGGAACAAAAAAGAAGCTTGCAAGGTTAGCTTATGGCTAGATTACCAGAATACCATTGCAAGTATTTGTGACAACAGAAAACAAGAAGGCACGGCCTGAGTACACCCATAAGAATAATAGGTGGAAAGAAAATATCCAAAATGTATAAAATTTAAAACCATGAATGGTATGAAGTATGAAGGTTTGCACCGCCTATGTACAGAAAAGTACTGGTTCACTCTATTCAAGAGGAAGAGGGAGAGGACTATGCAAGGCAACCTCCATAATGCAGGGACCAGAAAACTGATTAACTACCAAGAAGATGTGGCTATCATTATTCATGCGTAAATCATGATCTTATCAGCAAATCATGAAAAACTATTACAGCGAAATTGATCGAATATTGTGGGTACCAATGTTAGTTGGGGAACTAATTCATCATATAAGCATGGCTGGACTTGGTTATCGCACACCACAGCGCAAAAGATGTGGCAACTACCTGTCCCTTGTTAGGTCAGAGCAGAAGCATAATTCAGTGAACTCAGAATAAATTCAATCACAGGCAAGGACGTCACATTTGTCCTGACCCCACACGGATCAAAAGGCCAGGGTTCAAGATGAAATTTGCAATTGCAGATGAGCTGTAGTCAACTTCTATCCAACCAATAATTGAGGCCGGCCAAGTTTAGTAGTACAAAATAATATTTGTCTGTCAACCACAAAACATGGCCTGGCTTACACCTAGGTGGACACATGCAGCCATGGGGTGAGGAGACGAATCAACATACAACAACTCAACTAGCAAATCGTATTGTCAACTGGTACATTTTCAAGTCATGAAAGGACAGATGCACCTATCTTGGATCTCAGTAAATTGTATAATACTTCCATTTCTTGCTGGCAATAATTTTGTCATGCATGTGAAGATGGCAATAAGTAACCATGACCACAGCTAGGCATGCAAATAAGCGTTATTACAAATAATTTGCCAGGCCCGCTCATGGTGGACCCAGACAAACACAGCAAGAAATCCAATCATCTTTAGCTATTTCTAATTTTAGAGCAAAATTTCATTCACATAAACAACTGACCAGAACCAATAGCCATAAAAAGAGAACGTGTGTAAAGATCGTGAATCCAAAAATGTGCTGAATTAATTTCAGCATCACGGATTGACTGCTGCATGTCTGTACTTCTTTACGATAATTGCCACCAGGTACTAGAGCCCGGTTGGTCGATTTTTTTTTAAATGAATCCAAAACTATTGCGGGTCAATGGGCACACGCACCAGCTAATGGCCGCCCAATTGAATTTTATTTTTATTTTTGGTTCACAGCTAAGGTGGTGACAACTATATGCATGTTCCAGAACCAACCTAGCAGACCAGGCTGATCTCTGATACGTAGTAGGAAGGAAATATTCCGTAAGCATGCCACGGTTCGTCCTGCCTGCTTCGGGAGGGAAACTCTGTAATGGCGACATCTGAGCAACCTGAACCGAATCCTGTATGGAGGGATAACGAAAAGCTGGAGCAGAACGTACTACTTTGGGATGGTCAGACCAAAGGGAAGGGGGCTTAAATGGCGAGCGAGCCTACGCTGAGACATCTCCCTCTTCAAGCGAGAGTGTATGCGCACACTGCGCAGCGTATGTGGCGAAAAGAAAAGGTGAAAATCAAGAGAAACGCGTCGCCACCACCCATCGCCATCTGGAGCGGCCCCGCCCCGAGGGACGGAGGAGGGGGAGGAAATCGCGGATCAGACGAGCGGTTAACGAGTGATCCTCAAGAGCCCGGCAACGAATTCGGCCACGGAATCCACCGGAACCACCAGCACGTCCATCCAGCGGCAGGAAACACGGCTGGATGGGTAGCTAGCACGTAGATCGCGAACCAACAGAGCAGAGCAGGGCGAGGAGGCGGGGCGTGGAGCGGAGGAGGTTACCTGAGATCTCTCCGGGGATCCGCGCGGCCGGCGAGGGGCCTCCTTCCTTTCCCGGCTGGAGGGGAGGGGAGGGGAGAGGGGGATGGATGGGGAGTGAGTGCCTGCCGTCCACGGACCACGGCCCCGATGGTGCTCGAGCGAAGTGGACTGGCTTTAACGCGACAGGGTGGAGGGGGGCTGGGCCCCGGCTCCGCGCGGGAAATGACCGCGCTGCCCCTCGCCCGTGTTTTACGTGGGTGGGTGGGTGGAAGTGAAAGACGCGCGACGACGACGGTGACGATGGGCGCTTGGGCGCGTCGGGGTCGCGGGGCTGGTGGAGGTTAAGAGATGGATTAAACGCGTGGAACCACGGGATGACGGGCTAATCGGTCGCTTGATTGATGGGTATGGTGGCCAACTGGCCACCCGGAGCGGGGCCGCCGCCGCGCGAGTTCCTCCACGGGAAGGTGAGAGCGAGAACAGGGGGTGGGGGCCACCCGGTGGTCTCGTTTGAGCTTCGAAATTTGAATCCGGGTGACGCGCCGGGGGCTCCGCAGGCTCATGCTCCTCCCGAAAAAAAATTATATGAGATCAGGTCTCACACGAGACCATCCTGAATTCTTTTGCTTCTTTAGCTTAAGCATGCGTGAATGTACTGGCTTGTCTCCACTCTGCGAGTGCTCCGATAGCACCTGGTTTCGGCGCCCAGTTCCGGCCATGTGCCCTCGAGAGTTTTCATTTTGGGTGTGGCTAGGTCTCAGTCGACTGAGATTTAATCAAGTCTCAATCAAATGACATAACATGCAAGAGAGAAACTGAAAAAATAAAAAATAAAATTTTGCATGGATCTCTAACATCTCACTGGTATAGCAACGACTGTAAGTCTTAGTCGACTGAGACTTAGCAAGACTGTTTCATTTTTCGTCGTTAATTTGATGTTGTCACCACTACCTTTGTTGTGTGTCACCACTCGCCACCCCCGGTTCACTAGCATTGTTTCTGTTTAGGGGAGACCGGCTCTAATTGTCAAAGAACCATTTCCACGTTCGATGCTAAACGTCTTAACATGTGTTCAGGTGAGCTCGCGTCCTAGGTCTTTCAAAAAAATTTGCTGAAAATGCAGTTCTATTTAGAATATTATTTAATTTGTCGGGAAGAGAATTCTCACCTTACACGCTCCATACCATGAGGTCACGCGGCAGCGCCAAAGGGGGTGCTACTACTCGCTCAGCGTGGCAGCCCGAAGTGGAGGGGCTCGTAGTGCTGGAGCAGGAGCGCACTTGCGGCGGCTGGATCTCCTGCGTCCTCCGACGGGCACGCGTGATGCGCATGCACGTGAGAGCTTGGTCACGGCTGGGGACCGAGGTGGTTCATGGCCTTGGGCAACATTTTTTTTTATCCTTGTCGGCGTGGTGCTCGGCATGGATTAGCGGTTTGTGCTGCGTCTGGTGACCGGGTCCTCGGTTGACGGATCTAGCGGCTAGCGTTGGTCGACGGCCTCCACAAGATGCGGTTGGTTGCTCGGACGATGGGCTTCTTCGACTACGAGCTGGCTCGGTGGTGGTGCTAGGTGGTCGCCGTTGTGAGATGATGTGCGGATGAGGTGGTCTCAGGAGCTTGGCTGAAAACCATGTCTTGTTTGTGCCGGTGACCAACGATGGCGGCGGCCGTGGTTGTCGCTTATCTTCTTGGAGACATCGTTGTATTGTTGTTTCACCCTTCCCGTGCGGATCGATGCAGCTCCGGAGGAAACCCTTGATCTGGTTTGATCGAACGATGACGTCGCCTTTGTGTCGTATTCCCTCATGGGGGATTTGTCTTTGGAGCTGGATGTTGTCGAGCCAAACCAGTGAAAGACGATGGTGTTGGCACGAGGCTTCTGTGGCAACGATGATGGGGTGTGGAGTGTCGGAGACGTGGCTATGGTAGCGGTAGTCACCTCTTCTCCGGAGTGTCCGCGGGGATCGTCTCGGCTAGTTTGTTGTTATGTAGTCGAAGCTGCAGTCGTGGGGCCTCGGTGTTATACGATGACTGGCAGCATGTGGTTTGTTCGATGATCTTCTGCGCGCCAGCCATGCCTAGTTTTTCTTTGTGGTTCTTCGTCGGAGTCTGAGCTACGTTGTTTGGTCACCGATGGTCGGCTCTGGCACGGGTTAATTGTCATTTCAAAAAAAAAAGCATTCGCTCGATAAAGCTTTTTTTCTAAATCGATGTATGAACAACTATCAGTCTATCATGAGTTTTTGTCATGCTGCATGCGTTTATTTATTTATTACATTTTGACAATATTTTGCTATGATTTTTCCCTTGCTTCAATTTACAGGAGTACTCTCTTCTTTTTTTGCAAAAATACCGAATTACTTTCTTGTGATCATCTTAGAGCAAATCCAACGCGTCGACTCAAATGGAAGCATGTTTTGTCCCTTTTTCGTCCGTTTGGATCGACTCGTCTGTTTTCTTTGCGTTTGGATCGATCGGACGTCCAATGAGCGAATGCATTTTCGTCCTTGCGGCTGGTCCGTGCCCATTTTGTAGTTCTTTTTGCAAACATAAGATAGACGATACATCTATTGGTTGTCAACGTGAGCCCACATATGCTCAACCAAATCATTTTGCAACTAAATGTGATCTTACCAATTGATACGTCTCCAACGTATCTATAATTTTTGATTGCTTTATGCTATATTATCTACTGTTTTGGACATTATTGGGATTTATTATCCACTTTTATATTATTTTTGAGACTAACCTATTAACCGGAGGCCCATCCCAGAATTGCTGTTTTTTTACCTATTTTAGGTTTCGAAGAAAAAGAATATCAAATGGAGTCTAAACGAAATGAAACCTTCGGGAACGTGATTTTCTCAACGAACAAGACCCGGGAGACTTGGACCCTACGTCAAGACACAAAAGAGGAGGCCACGAGGTAGGGGGCG